GTGTCGCAGACCATCTTACTTGCATTGGAGACAGACCAGGAGTGCTTCTGAACTAAGGTAATTTCGATGTAATTAACCCACATAGGTTTTTAAAGTCCAGTATTTAAATTTTTCTTCAGGGTTTCTTTTTTTTTTTAAAAGGTTTTATTGGGGAATCGGGGGAAAGGGAACAGACAAATTGCTGTTGTTTTTTTTTTGTTCTTTAGTTGTGGAGGACGTTGCTTCACTGGCCCAAGCTGGCACCATCATTGAGCTCTTCCCGGGCGAGGCAGATCAGTCACCGGCTTCTAGACGGCCGCTCACGCTGGCTGCTGGCTACACATTGTAGCCCATGGCAACCCACTGCAGCAGGGGACTGCAGCCCACGCCCCATCGCCTGCGACCCATGCAGCCCAGCCCCAGGTCGAGCTGCCGTTCACCATTTTAGCTGCAGAGGGCAGTGTCACTGGCCCTCATATGGGTTCCGAACCGGGGCCCTCTGGCGTCCCAAGCCAGTTCTTAACCAACGCACCACTCGGCCGGCCCAGTTTCTTTTTTAATAACCTCATTTTGCCCATCTGTTTTAAGCTCAAAGCTGGTGTTTAGAACACATTAATCCTAGAAGGGCGTTTCCTCAAAAGGCTCCATCCAGTGTTCAGTAGGAAAGGTTAAGTAAGGTCCCAGAGGTTGTGGCTTTCTTTCTAGATTAGAGCAGTATTTCTCCAGCTTCTTTCGTTAGAAAACAACGGAGCCCTTTTCCCAAATCAAATCTTCACTGGACCACTAGCGGATGATACAGATTAAGGTAAGGCCACGTAATCCAGAAAATCACCCCAGGTTGTCTGTATAAAGTGGGAGTGATAGAGCTCATGTGTCCGTGTTGGGGTGAAGGTATACGGACGGCTCTTTGTAATAATGAAACTCTGTGTAAGTTGAAATAATTTTAAATTAAAAAGCAAAACTCAGTTGAATGAATTAGGTGCTTGAACAACGGGGTATGGTATACAAAAGGTGAAGTTGATACCAGAGATACAAATGAACTCAAAGTGAATCATAGACCTAAATACAAAGCCTGACACTAGAAAACCTCTGTAAGAGAACACAGACAATCACTGAGCCTGTGTTCGGCAGAGATTCCTTAATCGTGACATCAAGGCACAGTCCAGAAGAGAACACTTGTAGATAGGACTTGATCAAAATGAAAAACTTCTTTTCCCTCAGAGACACCATTAGGAGATAGAAAAGCCACCGGCTGGCAGAAAAGGTTCACAGGTCCCGTCTTTGAGCTGATTTGTACCTAGAATGTGAGGAACGCCGGCCTCTCACGCATGCATTGCGGGTGCGGCTGCATTGCAAACAGTTTGTCAAGCACACGCGGCCATTGGTGCTGCAGCAGCAGGCGTCCCCACAGACTGCCCCCGGGACGGCGACTGCTTGGAAAGGGCGTGCTGGGGACAAAGCCATTGCGTCCTGTACTTGCACGTACTTGCAGCTCTAGAAAGTGCACACTAGTGTCAGCAACAGAAAGCATGTTTGTGGCCGCGGTGGGGGGGCTGAAGAGGGGCGCGAAGAGGCTTGCAGGCAATGGCCAATGGGGGGGTCACAGGTGCACACGTCTGTGAGAAGGTATCAAGCTGTATGTTGACCGTGTGACTCCATTCCACTGACCTCCACTCTTCCCATGTTCATGATTTCTCCACTGACTGGGTAGGTGTGGCAGGTCGGGGAGGTGGGGGTGGCTTTGTCAGTCTCTCAGGTCATTGAGTGGAGCCCTGGTACCGACTCTTAGTGGGCATCTGCCCTGTGTCATCAGGTTTGAAGGGCTTAGGTGGCTCCTCACTGAATCCTCATAGCACGTGAGGCTGGCACTATTACTGTCTCCACTTTCAGACCCCAAACCAAAGGCACAAAGAGGTTAGGGACTCAGTGGAGGCCGCCTGGTGAGGAGAGAGCCAGGCCTGGACGCTGGGCGCACGACCCCACTGCCTCCACAGCATGCTCTGCTCAGGTGGGCTGGACACGAGATGAGGGCCATGAACACAGCTTCTGCGGAAAGCTAGTAGTGGTCGTCTTAGTTTGCAGGAAGTAAGTGTAAAGACAGAGATTTCCCCCCGTGATGGATGGGCAGGGTCCTCCCAGCCTTGCGGGGGTATTGGCACCTCGTGTGTGTCCCCACCACTGTTGTTCCTCAGACCTTCCTGCCAGTGTATGCCGCTTGTTTCTTAGACGGCGTCAATTACGTATGAAGTTTGGCTCTGAAGTAATGAAAGCGGCACTTCCTGTTTGGCCTCAGCGGGTTCGAAGGGCTTGGGTTTATTGACTAATTTTTGATCACCCACTATGTGCTAGGGTCTATGTCCTACCCTGAAGCAGAGGGCCGTAGGCTAATGAGGTGAGATGCAGAGAGAGTGCAAGACTGACCAGGGGCACCAGATAGCAAGATCCGGAGGGGGCCGGGGCCATGGCCCGGTGAGGGGCACTCAGCCTGCATGTCTCCCTCCCGTCCCCCGAGCTGTCACTGTGGTTATTGTGGTGGCCCCTAACTGCCAGCGTTTGGTAGGCAAGTGAATTGATTTGTAAGGTGACATAAGGAAGTGACATTAGAGTTAGGGAAGACCACCTCAGCTTTCTTGGTTTCTGAGCTGGGAAAACGGGGGTCAATTTTGTGCAGGGGGAGCCCAGTTCCTACTCTTTCCAAAAGGTACTGAAGGGACTTGGCCCCCAGTTGACTGTGTGGGTGAAGAGATGAGGGAGGGCTCAGCGCTCTGTGCCCTATGTGTATAGATGTCTGTGTTCACAGTACAGACTCACTTCTGCTGAGGGCCACCGGATTGCTCCCAGCGTCGTGGCGCCTTAGGGGTGCACGCTAAGACCACACTGCTGTCCATAGAGGCAGCACGAGAAAAGGAAGTGTCCTGTGTCCGCTTTACCTGACAGCAAACCCCTGCTCTGTGTCAACCGCCCCGAGTTCTCTTAAAATTTGCGTCAGAAAAGAGAAACAGGAAAATCTCATAGGATCATAGATGTTGAATACATTGCATGCTAATAACGTGTTATGCACATGTGTCAGTGTTCACACAGCGTGTGCACATTCGCTGTGTGCCCTGGGCTGGGACCACTCGGCTTCCCCTCGGAGGCCCATTCCCACCTGTGGGCCACACAGCTGGTTAGTTTACTGTGTACGTCTCTGATCGTTCTGATTACTGCTTCAGATCTAAGCATCAAAACCTAACGCTAGTTTTCATCACTTTTGACACATGGATATGTAAGCCCCCAAGGTCAACCATTCAGTTGTTCAGACAAACTTGGGGATTATTGGGGTTGCATCATTCTCAGACAGCTGGCCAGCTGAAGTGGCAGGGTGAGCCATGTCATTGCAGAAAAAATGTCACGACATGGCCTGCTTGTGGGATGTCCATGCTCCCACACTTTTAAAACCAAGAGATTTTAGCAAATTCAGTACGTGCTTGTAATGTAGTCAGAGAATACAAAGAAATGCTGATTAAAAAAACCAAAACATTGAGAATGTCCAAACAGATAAAAACAGAATAAATGTAATCACCCAGCTCCAGCATTTAGGGAACTTTGCCAGTTTTGTTGAGCCAACCTCCCTCCCTCCCTCCTTCCCTCTGTTCCTTTCCCCCCTTCCTGTTTGTCCTGCCTTGAAGTGTCTTAAAGCAAATCCCCGAATCTTACTTCACTCATAAGTAAGAAGTGTTTCTATCAGTTAAGGACAAGGCCCATTGTGACACCAAACAAAAGGGCAGCAACTCCTTTGTGTCCTCAAACACCCAGACCACATTCAGATTTTCTTCATTTTCTCTAAAAAGTCTGTACACTTGGGTTTTGAATCAAGATTCAAAGTCTCGTGACGTTTTTTTAGAACTTTTAATGGAAAACTGGAACATATCAATATATCAGCATACACCTTCAAATGCAGGGCAGGCAGGGTCGGTCCCATGGGGCCAAGTGTCCACAGGGCGGTCACTGCACCCACTCCAGTATCAACACCGGCACTGTCGTGGTGCCTTTGTCCTGCTGCTGGTGTGGTTAGAACTGTGTGTCACAAAGGAGGACTTTCTGTCGTCCTTTGGGTTAGCACCGTCTTATTTGGAGGTTAACTTGGATGTGGGCATGAAAGAAAAGTAGAAAGCCGATGGAACTGGTTTCAGTGCCTCATGCAAACCCCTCTCTCCCAATGCTGCTTTGTCTTGGAGATGCAGCGTGGTGGGCGAGGGGTCGAGTAAGGGGGCAGCCTCCTGCCCGTGGGACACTGGGTGCTCTGTAGGCTGGATGTGATCTTGGAGGTTTCAGAGGGGCCACTGGAGCAGAGTGGGAGGCCCCAGGGCTGAGACTGCATGCGCTTGTCTCCTCTGTTAAAGGAACTTCATCCTCTAATCACTGAAGGGCTGACAGAGCACTTTCCAATTGTCTCATTTAATTGTTATTTCAGCCTGTGACGTGGACACCATTCTGGCTTTGCATTCAACAGACCAGAGTGAAAAGAGATTTGGAGAAAGTTGCGTTCCTTGTATGTGGCGGAACCAGAACTTGAATTACTCTGATACCTTACTCAGCGCGTGGCCTGAGTGTCATTGTCAGCAACTGTGTGATAACTGGGGTTCTGGGTTCCGGGATGTCCTTCCTGGACTTAACAGGGTCTTCAATAGAGGTTGACAGTGTGCGTGTAGCCTGAGGTGACTTAGTGCCACCCAGGGCCTCCGGGGAAGCACATTATATTGCCAATGGGAAATAACTTGAATAATGAAATTATGCTAACATGTTGACTTTCAAAGATGTTGCGTGTTTTCTAAAGTAGGAGCAGGTCACTTTCACATACTGGCTGTTAAGTTACTTCGATTTCTACAAAAAGCATTTCCAAAACAGAAGTTCTAAATAAAAGCCAGTGGCAGATATGGGTCAGAGAGGACAGACGGGAACCTCTCAGCAGGTCCTGTCTTAGTGGATTAGACTGGTCAGCGAGCTGAGTCAGCATGTCCAGAGCTTAGCAGTGACTTGCACACAGGAGGGGAGAAGGGGAGAAGGGACCCAGGCCATGGGACCTGATGGTGGGGTTTCCAGAAGGCTTTGGGGGGACCACGGGTAGGTAGTGAAGAGAAGAGCAAAAGCAGTTCAATGTAAGTAAGACTTTAAAATGTACCGTATTTGCCGGCGTATAAGACGACTCAGCGTATAAGACGACCCCCTAACATTTCCACTCAAAATACAGAGTTTGTTATATGGTCGGCTGTGTGCGATTTTGCGAGTGTGGTAAAATCGCATAACAGCAAAATCGCGTAACAGCCGAGCATACACCCAGCAGCGCTGCTGATGCCTGAACGGTATGTGGAATGAAGTGGGCAGGCATCGGGAGGCCACTGTGGCACGGGGCAAGCACTATGGCCAGTCTATCTGAAGTGTACCTGGCGTATAAGACGACCCCCCACTTGGAGGCATATTTTTCATGGCCAAAAAATCGTCTTATACGCCGGCAAATACGGTACATTCATTGTTTCATTATCAAAGTTTAGAAACTGTACGGCAAATGTTGGAAAGCGAGAAAAATAGGATCAGTAATTCTAACAAAAATGCTATTTGTCTTTTTCAATTTTTTTTAAACTAAGTGTATTTTTGTTTTTCTGAAATAGCTAAAATGATTACATTTGTTTTTCATTTAACACATGATAAGCATTGCTCCAGATTTTTCTACCATCTTTCATTATTGTTCTTAGTGATACGTAATAGTTCGTTTGGTAAAAAGTTAACATTAGCTTTTTTTTTTTTAACTGAAAAGTATAGAGAAAAAAATGTGAAAGCTTCTTGCTTCCAGGGCCCAGATAACCTGTTAACTGTTGAAAGAAGAAAAAAATACATGTATAAAAGGTAATGTGAAAAATTAAAGCTGCCCCACTATTCCTGTCTTTCTCCAGAAATAGCCACTATTAACGTTTTCTTATGTATATACAGAAAAGATTGCTTACAGTAGCATAGATGTTTGTCCTTTTTATACACAAAAGAAAAGTGCCATCATTTATACACTGTACCTGTTTATTTTGTTTACAGTTTACAGAGGAGGTTTTGGGGTGAGCCTGCAGGCTGTGGGAATAAGAAAGTTGGTTGCTTCCTGGCAGTTCCGCTCAGGTCTCTCGCCGCCCGTGGGGTGCCGGCTTCTCTGGGTGGGAGCGTCGGCTGTCTGGCTCCTGTGACAGTGGTGGTGTTTGAACTCTGCACCCTCATCCTGTGGGGCCAGTTCAGTGTCCCAGCTCAGAGCGAAGGGGGCCGCCCATGTGTGGATGTGTGCACACTATGTCCCAGTGGTCCTGGACAGTGCCTCCCGGGTGACCGAGAGGCTAGCACACTGAGATCCTGAGTGTCCCCCCATCTACAGAAAACTTCTTTTCCAGATTTGATTTTAGAAAATACAGCTTTGACATGGAGAATAGTCGGTGTGGTTTTCAAAACCTTTAAATGCCTAACAGTAGGTTTCTTTTTCTCACCAGACCTTTTGTACAGGTTAAATAGGGTCTTTAGGACATTTGTTTGTATTGCTCGTAGAAATAGGAATGCCCCTTGTTTTAAAAATTGACAGACGTGGATTTTGAATCTTAAGTAGAGACGCAGATGTGGGCACGGATTAGAGAGGGAGCTGTGATCAGAAGGCAGTGTTAATAATTGATGCTGTTTGCTAAGGAAAGAACTCGGTCTGGTTTGGTCCCTTTGCTGTGACTGAAGATTAAAGTCAGAAGGTGTTGGTATTACTGCTTCCGAAATTTTGTGAAGTGACCGAGTTAAATGGAGCTTCTCAGTGTAAAGATACTTAGGTCTTCAGTAAACTCAGTTCTCTAGCTTAAAGCAGTACAGCTGGGCAAGTGCTGTGTGTATATTCTGCTGTAATATGTAAAAAAGAACATCTAATTAAAAGAAACATGTACTTAAATTTAAGATCTGAGGAGGTGCTAATACTGGAATTTGAGTCTTTACCTGAAGACCCGAGCGTCTTAAGAGAGTATCTCCTGTTTACCTAGATCCTAGGGAGTGTGCTGTTTCTAGTCCTTAACTCATTGACCGGTGATGCAGATTTGCATTAGAGTATGTGGAACAATCAGTGTGAACAGGGGTCTTCCTCCAGAAATGAAAAACAAATAAATCACAGTCTCTGAAATGCAGCAAAACCACGTTCAGGAGAAAGGGTGAAATTCTTTTTCAATCCTGGAGGGATACTCGTGTTGTCAACATGATTTCCACAATTCAAGATTCAGCAATGGTTGATGTTCCACGGAGAAATGAAGAAGTAAAGAAAAAAACCTATTTGTATTTTTCAGTATAATATGTTCATGAAGGGTGGTGATAGGGCAGATCAGTACTTGTCTTATAAATTTCAGTTCACAAGAATAGCGAATTTGTTATAAATTTTTAAAGAAACACAGTATAAAGGTTGATTTAAATGGTTTAAACCCCGGGAACATGCATTTAAACAATTTAAATGCCCCCGTCCTCAATGTGTGAATTTAAAAATTGGCTTTTTAGTGTTTAGGATCAGAAGTTATGTTTGTTGACTAAAACTGAGTTTAATTCAAGGTGTCTCAGGCCAACATTAGCTGTTGGTTTTTAGAAGGATTAATAAGGAAGCTTCTTCACAAACTAAGAAGGACTCTCTAATGTGGGGGTGCTGAAATCAAACACCCCCGACTCTGCAGGTCACGGTATAATCCAGCCACGTGTCTAACTGCAGGTTAGTGGTGCCTGGACTGGCACAAGGCACCTGGGGCGGGCAGGCCGGCCGTGGGCTTGAGAGAAGACCACGGCTTTCTGTGTGGAAATTAGTTCGTATTCTCTTGGCACTATTAATATTTCAGACATTCACGCACATGGGTGCAGTCCATAGAGTGTGTACGTGGACCCTAGAGAGGGAGTCAGTGTGGTCACTCGCACACCTAACTGCACCATGCCCCAGTCCAGCCGGGAAGGCCCCCACAAGGCATCAGCCGAGCTCCCTGTGTGTTCACAGTAATGCCTTTCCAAACAGCTCTCTTGGCCACAAGTAGCCCCAAGACTGTCACTGTGTGTCGCCTCCCACTGAGCTGGGCAGCAGGCCCCGCCTTCTGCTGTGTCCTGGCTCCAGAGGCCTTTCTTGGTGACCTTCCAGCACTGGGGACTTGAGCTGCCTGTCTGGAGTCCGTCTGCTTCCTGCCTGGCTGGCCTGAGCAGCTGCGGCATTTCTAGCTGTGACTAGACGTGGGCTGGCTGAGCCAGGTGAGAGCAAGGACCAGATCTGACTTTCCAAGATGCTTTGCGTTAGGAGTGATGTTTTTGTTGTCAGCAGTAAATATACATCAGGTTTCTGTAATAGGGACCATGGAACAATTATTCGAAATGCTTTTTGTAGAGTAGGAAAGCTTATGTAGACTAGGAACTTGGACAACTGTGCTTCTGGGGCCATCCATGTAATGGCCCCCAGGTGTGTTTCAATCTCAAGACGATAAACAAGCACCGTTAGTTCAATATCTGGTGTGTGTTATATTAACCCTATGACTTTTATACACAACCTGTGAGGGAAAGCACTCCCCTGTATTTGCATAGGAAATGGAGGCCTTGCATAAGCTGTGTTTGCGTGTGGGAGCTGACGTGCTCGTAAGTGATTAAAAGATGTTGGTGATTATATCTTCAGCTTTGTGCTCTGTTGGTCAGATTTATGATTGACAGCTCTGTTCTGGGTCAGAAAAGCAACCTCCAATTCTGAGATTTCTTTGGAAAAATGAGTCTCTCATTAACCAAGATGGCTTTGTTTTGACTGATTCAGGAGTGCTGACGAGATGGTGTGGGGTAGGGCTGCCTTGCCCTATGCCTGTCACGTTAGGGGGTGTTCTGAGTTTTTTGGCCTCCCACGGTCCCGCTTGGTGGGGCAGCAGGCTGTCCCCGAGCCAGATGCCTGCTGGGCACCACACCAGATCCTCCTAGAATTGCTGTGAAAACGTGCCGACATCTGGGCGGTCATGGGTTCAAGCTCATTGATGTGACTTTGAGGTGCTAGGTTGCCAAATTGCCGCTGTACCCCATTTCCTGGCCTACCTAGCCCAGGGTTTTCACGTGAGAGCTGTTCTGCGAGTAAATGTCAGTCTTAGGTTCTTGGGTTCCCTAGTGAGACCCAGATCATTCGTGAAAAATGTGTCGTAACAGACTTTTCCTTTTTCAGCCTACCACCATCTTTGAGTAAACCACTAGATATTGGCATTGTGCAAAGCTAGTGAATAGCAGTGAGTGTGTTTTCCTAGCCAGCCCCTGGGAGGTAGGCATTTTATTACAGCTTCTGGCGAATGTTACAGTGCTTGGACTTGAGTGAAACCACAGCACTCGGAACTGCAATTTCCCCTTCTCACCTGCTTCATGATTACTCAGCCATTGTTTATTAATGTTTCTGTGCTTGCGTTTTTTTCAGATCTCAGATTCTTTGAGGTGACGTTGGAGAGCACTGAGATCAGAAGATGAGTGAACTTGACCAGTTACGGCAGGAGGCCGAACAGCTCAAAAACCAAATTAGAGTACGTAGCTCACACGTGGTTTTGTTTGTTTGTTTGTTTTAATAAATTTTATTGGGGAACAGCCATGGTCATTGGTTACACATTGCTTTCATGCTACAATGGCACAGTTGACTCTTTTAAGGAGGGCACAGCTCACAGTGGCTCATGCGGGGATGGAACTGACAGCCTTGGTGTTATCAGCACAACGCTCTAACCAACTGAGCTAACAGTCACCCTCTCATACGTGTTTTTGTAATCATTTGGATTTTAGGTCAAATGTTATCTGTTTTTAGGAAATTTGGGTTACAGAATGACCCCCTAGTGTTCTGGACTGAAACGGAGTCCTCATTAGCCCAGGACGCACTAATCACACATCCAGATACTGCGTCTAGCACGTTAGCTGCAGAATTCTGTTTCCTAGTAGGTTGTTATTTGAATATGTATAAAATGTTGCCATAGAGTTTATAAACATCTTCCCTGTACCTTGTTTTGTTTTTTAAAGATTTTATTGGGGAATTGGGGAGGGGAACAGACAAGTTGCTGTCCTTTTGTTCTTCCGTCTAGTTGTGGAGGACGGCGCTTCACTGGCCCATGTTGGTATTATCATTGCATTCTTCCCGGTGAGGCAGTCACTCGCCGGCCATTGGATGGCCGCTCACGGCAACTTGCGCTGGCTGCCAGCCACTCACAGTAGCTCATGGCAGCCCACTGCAGCAGGGGCTGCAGCCTACGCCGTTGCCATCGCCTCATGGCAGCCCAGCTCCAGGTTGAGCCATCTTAGCTGTAGAGGGCACAGTGTCACTGGCCCTCATGGGATCCGAACCGGGGCCCTGCTGCTCAGAGCTGGCGTCCAAGCCAACTCTTAACCAACACGCTACTCGGCCAGCCATGTACATTGTTTCTTAACTCTGGGAATTAGCTTTGTGGCATCCCTTTGGTCACTGTATAGAGTGTGGTGTCTGCCTCCCTCCGTGTGACTCTTAAGTTGTGGGCAGGAAACTTGTTTAAAAATAAGAGTATTAACGCCAATAGCACCAAATATTTTAGGTGTGCCCGATTTATTGTTCCCTGGGGGGGGTTACTGGAGTCCACAGCTTTGGCGAGGCCATCAGAGCTGAGACACCTCACTGAAGAGAGAAACCGCCCTGCACAGTTCAGCTGCCCTGCACAAAGAGCAGTCATAGAGTTCTAAGACTGAATTCCGTCACTGACCTATAACCTCACGTTGCGGAACCAGGGTCTTTGAAAAAGGGAGGAGAAGCGGGCCTAAAGGGATGAATTCTGCTCTCCTCCAGCTTCGTGAGTCGGTGTTGCTCTTCTCAGCATTGATATGAAGCATGAGAGGGAAAGCCGTGGGCTCACCAAGAAGCAGCACCTCTCAGCAAGTTTAGGTAGATGGTTGTCAGGGAGAAGGGCAGCAGTGCTGCTGTCTCGGCTTTATCCCCCCCCCCACCCACACACACACCAGTCAGGCAGCCCTCAGGGCATCACTTTTCAGGCGGCTCTAAATAGTGTTCTGATGGAGCCTAATCATTTCCTTTTCAAGGACCATGTTCAGAAGGCCTACTGGTAATTGGAGAAAGAAGCATCAACATTATTTTAGACATCTTTTTTGTTAGCTTGAGAACAGTTAATGGAATTATCTGAGACCTGTAGCTGAGGAGGAAACAGAAAATATCCTTTCATTGGGAGAAGTTCTGCTCTTACCATTTAAAATACCTGATCTACTCAGTAAAGATCAGGAAGACTCAGTGTTTCTGATTTGCTCTGATCAGACTTAAGATGTTTGTCCACCTCCCAAATGTAGAAATCAGAATTTTGTTTTTCTGACAACTGAAATTGTGGTTCATGGAGAGTGGATTCGGATCCATTCACAGTAGATAAACAGAGTCTGTATGGCAGAGGCGAAACCATATTTGGAAAAAGCACAGGCTGAAAGTCAACGTCACATCTCTTCCCACCTTGTAGCCCCAGGTACAGTGTGAAGTGCAGGCAGGGCTGTCATGCAGGCCCCACGTGGAATTTAAAAATGTGAAAGGAAACAGTTGGGATTAATTTTTAATAGACTGTATCTAAAACATGTCATTTCAACATATACTTAATATTTTCATTGGTTTTTTTTTTCCATTGTTTTATATTTTCTTTTAGAACTAAGTTGAGAATTGAGTGTGTCTCTCACATTAAACAGCACACGCAGTTTGCATGATGCGTGTCTCACGTGGCTCGTGGCTTCCCGTGGGACTGTGTCCCAGGAGAGTGGCTGAGCCATCATGGGCTGTGTCCCCAAGGCTGTGCAAGTCCATTACACGACAGGGAGGGAGACTCCCTTTTAGGAAGGAAAGAAACCCCCTTTTTCTGATTGCCCAAGGAGGGCGTGCTTCTTAAAGAAATGGTTCACTAGCCTGAGCAGGGCTGCTTTCTTTCTTAGGTTTGTCTTAAAGTTGAAAGACCCCAGAGGACTCTCATCCTTTTTTGATTGATTGGTGAGGAAGCAGGGCTCTCACAGGGATGCTGATTGGAGCATGGCATGTCTTCGAGTACACAGGCCATGTGATGAGTTAAGGAAAACGCCACAAAATGTACAGGTGCCAGCTGTGTACAGATTGACCGCTAGCCCCTGCTCAACGGGACTCACTGTGTGACAGGGTTCTGTGTGTGGCTTTGCGGTGGCTGAGCAGAGGGGGGGCTTGTACTGCGGCCCAAGCACAAAGAGGATGAATGTCCAGTAGGATGAGGAACTGAACAGCCAGTGGTTTAAGGGGACACAAAGGTGACCTGTTACCTTCAGTGACATTTATCATCACCGACAGTACAGAGGCCTGAGCACTAAATAGCACACGAGTCTCGCACGTTTCCACCAGCCCGTTAAATTGAGCATGAACCTAGAAGGTGGTGATTGTGCTGTTATTAAGCAGTGGCAGAGATGTGGCCCTTGGGTGGCCCCTTCCTGCACTGTGGGAAGTGGAAGGCGCTTGCGCTGAAACGCACACACGTGCACACAGCACTTGTTGGCTGAAGTGGAGACTGAACCGAAGTGACCTGTGCTTGGTGTGTAAAGTAGCCTTTTCGTTTCATCAGTCGGCTCACCACACTCTGTCTGGGGCGTAGCATGAACTCCGTTTTAACTTCTCGAGTTCCTAAGTCCCATCGTTTGTATTTTCCATTTAAAAAATTCTTGTTCTTTCTTAAAATTAGAAGCCACAGATAACATCAACAAAACTGGTATTCAGAAATAAACACTAAACTCAGTACTTGACGAGTAGAGTTCGTTGATGCAAGACCTGCCCCCCTGGGTCTCCCCTCCACTTCCTTCTCACCCCAGTTAGGTGCTGGCAGGGAAGTGCTAAGTTACAGAAGATTTTGTGTTAACTATATCATGAGTTAAACAGAGTGACATGGAATAGCATGATTGCAGTGCAGTTGGAGCCTGGGTCTTCTACTTTGATACACTTATGATAACAATCTGAATAGGTTTCTGTGCTCTTGAGGGGTAAGTATTCCCACCGCCTCACGAAATAAGATCATTCACACTGAGGCAGCTGGTCCTGGAGGGTGCTCCCTTGGGACACCCGGCATGTGCCCCCCTGTGTAAGGGCCGTCCTGTGGTCTGTGGCCACTGTCAAACAGGTGGTCGGATGACTATATAAGGAAACATTTTTCTTATTAGAAATTGTCATCATTTTCTGGGAAATCATTCCTACACTCAGATTTTGACCCAATTAAAGCTGTTACTGGGCTGGCCAAGTGGCGCATTGGTTAAGAGTTGACTTAGGACGCCAGCTCTGAGCAGCAGGGCCCCAGTTTGGATCCCACATGAGGGCCAGTGACGCTGCGCCCTCTACAGCTAAGACGGGAACAACAGCTCGACCTGGAGCTAGGCTGCCATGAGTCACCAGCGACGGCATAGGCTGCAGTGAGGCTGGCCGGCAGCTGGTGTGAGCTTTCGTGAGCAGCTGTGAGCCGCCATGAGCGGCTGTCCAGTGGCCAGCGACTGATGTGCCTCCCCCGGGAAGAGCGCAATGATAATACCAACATGGGCCAGTGAAGCAACATCCTCCACAACTAGACTGAAGAACAAAAGGACAGCAACTTGTCTGTTCCCCTTCCCCGATTCCCCAACGCTGTTCCCCTCCTCAATTCCCCAATAAAACCTTAAAAAAAAAGAGAAATATCCTTCTTCTTTAAAAAAAAAAAAGCTGTTATCTCATTTTCCTTCATAACGTATGGCTCTCTATTTATAAAATATATACATTAATTTGAGATTTCAAGATTTCATTTTCTAGTAACTTTGATTACTTAGGGGCAATGAAACATTTTAATTAGCTTTAGTATATCTCTTTATAGTACTTACCTGCCTCACAAGGTCATTTCATAGATAAGAAAATGTAACAGGATAGAAGAGCCAGGAAGTCATTAGAGCCTTTGCTCTTTTCCACAGAGTTTGGCAAGAGCCACTGTTTGGCTCTAAAACAGAGCCCTCAGTTAACACAATTCCAGAAGCAAAGCTCTTTGGGTTGGCCATTGGTGCTGTTTAGACTTTCTCTGGGCCCCACAGCTCCTGGGCTGTTAGAAGACAGAGCGAGATTTGCATTCAGGTGTGTGGCAGGGACGGGGGCCTTGGCAGGCAGGCGAGGAGGCAGCACCAATTGGTCCTGGGCTCCTTCCAGCACGGGCTGTGTTTCTGGGGTCACGGGTGTTGCCTGGGACATGTTAGGGTGCCATGGGCTGTGTGTTGAGTGAGACCTGTGTGCCTGTGCAGTCCCCAGATGGCCCTGCCCTGTGGGCTGTGAGGACAGGGAGGCAGGGGGCGAGTGTGCCACCCTGCACGTTCTGCCCCTGACGCTTTATAGAGTCTCTCTGAGAACCTGGTGTGAGGACCTGGGATGGACATATGAGGAACATGACTAATTTGCCTTCATCGTTGTTGTTTCTAGGACGCTAGGAAAGCATGTGCGGATGCAACTCTCTCTCAGGTAAGCACGCCTCATGCAGAGTCGCTGCCCAACATACAGATTGGTGTGCGGTGGGGGCCCCACTGGGGACCCCTAGGATAGGCTCTGGTCTCGTTCCTTCCACACGGTGAGGAGGAGGAAAACCATGCTTGGAGATTGGCACTCAGAATTCACTCCCGTGCTAGGCATGGGAAATGGTGTTTTTTTAAGATGAAACACGTCTCTAGCCTTAAGTAAGTACTTACTGTTTTAGAGGTCAGCATTGTCAGATACCATTACAGCCTTCAAACGAGGTATTTTCAAGGTCCTCTCTTTATAAAAAAATCTGCCTCAGAATGTCTATTCCTAAAGTTGAGTTTGGCAGATCCTCAAAACGTTAGACATAAATTATGACCCAGCAATTGCACTCCTACACACACACCCAAAAGGAGTGAAAACCGGTGCTCCAACGAGGACACGGACACATGTTCTTAGCCCTAGTCACAACAGCCAAAGGTGGGAACAGCCACAGTCCCCACAAGCGGACGAGTGCGTGAACAGAGTGCAGTAACGGGAGTATTAGTCAGCCATAAAAAGGGATGCGGTACTGACGCCCACCACGGCATGGACAGAAAACATGGCGTGGTGAGAAGAGCCGCACGAAGGCCACGTGGTGTGTGGTTCCATTCACAGTATGTCCTCAGAGCTGTGACCCCCACAGACAGAAGACAGGGCAGTGCGTGGCAGGCCCAGCTTCTCTTGGGGAGGTGGAATGTGCTAGATGCCACCGGGCCGTGCCTATAACATGCTCATTTCCACCTCGTGAAAGAGTTGACATCTTTGTCCAAAGAATCAAACAAATGTGAAAAAATTTTATTTTTATGGTGGACGATTAATTTTCCCCAATGTCCTAATGCTTTAGGGGATGCACTTTAATTGGGATTAAACAATAAGTTAAGGAGGAATTGTACTGCATAGAATTAGGTACATGAATTTGAACTCTCAGGTACACTTTTAGATCCCTTGCTGTGACTTGACACACTTGTCAACCTGGGACTTTCTGTCGGCCGGCCCAGTAGGTTAGCACCCCGGGCTGTGCCGTGGGCCAGATAGGAGACATCACAACCGTCCTGGTTGGCTCGCAGCCAAGGGCCTGTGAACAGGACGCAGGCCCAGGGCCGTGTACTTGGATGGGCAGCTGGCTGATGAGGCCGTAACGACTGAGGGAGGTGGGACGAGCTGGGCGAACAGCAAGGGGGGCTGAGGTGCATGCCCCTGGGGGCCGGCAGCGTGCCCAGCACATGTTGGGGGGACCATTGGGGAGACACAGGTGGTCCTGACGACCAGGTAGAGCAGGAGACATAACGAGAACCATGAAAGGAAGGTAGGCGCCGTGGTAAACGCATGTCCCCATGGGTGGAGAGCTGCCTTGGGGGCTGGCAGGATGGGGTGGGCACGGCGAGGGCGGTGGTGCCACCAGTGGGGTGGGCATGGAGGATACAGGGCAACGGTGTCGTCACAGGGCCGATTTCAGGAGCTTTTCTTTTTCAGATCACAAACAACATCGACCCTGTGGGAAGAATCCAGATGCGTACCAGGAGGACGCTGCGGGGCCACCTGGCTAAGATCTATGCCATGCACTGGGGTACCGATTCCAGGTGCGTACTCGCAGCCCCGGGGCTATTCGCTCTTTCTGGGGGAAGTAACAGCGTGTTGCCTGTGCCTTGTCGGGAAAGAGCTGTAGGGGAGCTACAGCTCTGGTGGGCAGGCCAAGCGCAGCGCCACAGGCCGTGCTCCCGCCACCTTTCCAGACCTGGGCTGCGTGTGCACAGTCACTGCTTCCCCACCCTGGTCAGTTCCTATCAGCCCTGAATGCGCCTTCCCTCACCTGTGCTGTCCCAGCGCCATGGCACAGTGCTGTGTGACCATGGGGAAGTCACCAGGCCTCTCTGTGCTTGACTCCTGTCTTTCTAGCCTGTTCTCATGGCTTCTTGGCTTATGTGCTCTAGGTTTCAGTGCCTTGGCTCGGGTTATCAAGCCTGCCCCAGGCAGTGCCGGCAGGATTCAGTGTCTGAAGCTGTAAAGTAGCAACCTGTGCGTCCCAGGTGCTGAGCCCACGCCAGGCAGCGGGAGTGCGTGGTTTGGCTGCTGTCCACATTCTTTCCCCTGGCCTGTCCGCGCCCCCACCCCACCCGCTAACCCACCATCCTGTCAGGGGCTCATTGTCTCTACCTTACACTCTGCCCCTGATCCTGACTTCTTTGTTCTTTGGTGGCTCATCTCCGCATGCTCTAGGTTGCTCCTTCCCTCCCCTCTCTGCACCCCCATTTCCCTTACGTAACCTGCAGCCTCGCAGAAACGAAATCTGCTCAGCCCTCTTCTTTTTCCTTAGAGCCTACTGGAAAGTCCATCTCTTCTACCTTCTTCACCCAAATAATTAAATAAAATGCTATGTGACTGTGGCTCTAACATGTTCTTTCAGCTGTCTCACAGGATTCTTTTTTTTTTTAAGATTTTTTTTTTTTTTATTGGGGAATTGGGGGAAGGGGAACAGACAAGTTGAGTTGTTTTTTGTTCTTCAGTCTAGTTGTGGAGGACGTTGCTTCACTGGCCCAGGTTGGCACCATCATTGCGCTCTTCCCAGGCAAGGCAGATCAGTC